GAGCACTTTAGGTACTGATGAAACACAGCTAACCATCGTCACGAGTGAGCACTTAAGGTACTGATGAAACACAGCTAACTATTGTCACGAGTGAGCACTTAAGGTACTGATGAAACACAGCTAACCATCGTCATGAGAGAGCACTTAAGGTACTGATGAAACACAGCTTAACCATTGTCACGAGAGAGCACTTAACATATTAGCGAAACATAGCTTATCATCATTTTGAGCTTGAACTTAATTCTTTGTATTTTTATGCTGAAACTAACATCAAAATTAATTCCGCAAGTTAAGACAAAACGTGAAACAAAAACAAAAAGTTTGATTAATTCACAATTTTCAAGGTATTAACAGAATGATGTTTTTTAAATGTTTAAAGAAAGTCAAATGTCTTATCTTTGTCAGGTTCCTTTAAGCCAACAACTTGAACAACAAAGAATTTTATCAATGCTTCCCATCAACCAACACTTGAAGCTTACATATAAAAATGGTCACCGATCCTAAATAATCCACAAAATGGCAAGGAAAAAAACCCCAAAATATTTCCCATAATGCCTCACAGCCTTAAAACCGTCCTTCGTGTAGTTTTAGAATCGGTACAAATTCACCGTTTGAGCATTTAGTTTCCATTTCCCCCAAGAGAAATAGCATTGTTACACTTCTGCTCAATTTGAAACTGGCAAAGAAGGTAGAGCCTATACCTTGCATATATCATTACAATAAAACTGGGGGAAAAAACAACAACCTCTGATGGTCCCCAGTTTTATTCTAAAGAGATAAATATGCTTTCTAATGTTTCTTTAAATCCAACACTAGTTCAAAAACATGCAACTCAAAATATCTTTCATCAAAAACAGGATGTAATATAACAAAAGTCTAAGTATAATTCAGTTCTTTACAACTTATCTTAAAACAACTCTTAAGATAACTATTATTGTAACAGATGGCTGTATTCTGATCACTACTGTTCATCTTATTCCAGCTGGCCTGAAAAGCTCTGGACTGCGCAAAACACATCATCGGCAATGGATATGACAAATTTAGTACGATCGAAATACTATTATACACTCTTTTAATTTATGAAAATCCTTAAGGGACTAGATTAAGAATGAAGTATTAAAAAATATATTAGGCCTAACGTAACGTCTTACGACAAGTTATAATTACCTTACCTTAAACTTTTCAAGATCATCCAACAGGCTGCGATGCTTCTTCGTACCCTGTCCTCGTAAACTTGCCCCAAAAAACTAGAAAAATATTATGTTAAATTACACTTAACAATCCCTAAATCTAAAAAAATTACATACAGTTTTTTTCATTTTGAATTGATTATTTGTTTCTTGGAAAAAAAAAAAAAAAAAAAA